GGAGAAAAGTTAGTAACCGTCACAAACACATGCCATATTTACAATATGTGACACTTCATTTAACACTGGCATTTGAAGCTGAGCAGGGATGTACATTAGATAAAGTCTACTTACTCTAAACCCATAATCACCACGTTAAAGGGGCTGAAGAGGATGAAGACAAGTATGGTTTTAACTGGTGAGGGTTAGCATACCTCCCCGTGTGTAAACATCCTGTATTTAAGACCACGTGTGGTCAGAAAGTAAGCCAGAAACGGCTGAGTGTGACAGGGGCGGGGGTGTTGTAAACGAGTTTGTGTGTGCGTTGTGTTTGTTACTTTTCAAACCCAAAAGCAGGAATATGCGACGATTTACGAACCACCAAGCTGGACTGAATTTCACCAGCAGACAGAGAAAGAGATTGAGAATTACCGATTATATAAGATGGAAAATCCGAGAGAACGCAAGGAGAAAAAGAAGAGGAAAAAACAGAAACAAAAACCTCACAACCACATCCTCTTTTTCAGCCTAGGAGTGTAAAGCCCACTGCTAAGCGCTTGCCCAGGGTATGCTGTCTCATTTCCAGGGGCGTTTTTTCCACTCGGTTTCTCCCCCAGGGCTTTCCACACAGCCGGAGAGCCCCGACTGAAATATTCACAAGGCACCTGAGGACACAGGTCTTTGTGGGGCGGTTCCAGGGAGGTCGGCTCCGGTTTAACCCACACACCGAGCTCCTAATCTAGGGGGATGAACACATCTAAGTGGCTGATGAGCACAGCTGTCACTCCATACACACACACACACACACACACACACAAAGGCCCCCAAACAGCTCTAGGGAGTGAAGCGCACCTGTATGCGTCCCTGTTCACACAAAAGAACTCCTAGTTTTTTGGTAAGGGACGAGTTTGATTGCACATCTGGTGTGAGGGTGTAAAAATAAAATAAAAAATTTAAACGCAACAATTGTGTGTTGAACAGTCATGTTTGCGTTTAGCTTTAAATATTGATGCGAGGCATCAGACACGTACTGTACAGATGTTTAATGTACAGCGTGTTTCCAAGCTGATAGATAGAATATTGGGCTTTGTGTGGTCTTTTAAGTGAGGGGGAGAAGCAGGTCCCCAGTGTTGTAGCAGGTTCATGCTTTCTAACCTGTTACCCACACAACACAGCCCACAGCCCGGGGAGAGCAGCCATCTTCCACACACTCCACCCACACACACATACATACACACTCAGCTGTGTGTCGTGTCAGCTTGCACCCCCATACCCTGCCCCCCCACATCAGCACCCGTTCTCCATGAACACACACACACACACACACGGCCAGTTGGAACTACCCCCTCTTTATCTGTTTCTCTATCCCTCTGCACCATCAGCCACCTCCTCCCCCATATCTTGACTTTCTGTGCAAATGTTCAGATTAACAACCGCAACCACCCTGAATAAACACCACACTGCAATTTCTTGTTCAACTAACTGCTCGAACCTCCCTCAAGATACACTCGCACATCCACAGACATGTTAAACATGTATGCTTAAACATCATAGCAGTACAAACAATTAAAACAAACTCCAACATGGTGGACTCCCTCACATAAAGTGGGGAAAATATAAAATAAAGCAACTTGAGCTTTAGGCGCTGACATGCATAATTCAGCACATTAAAAGAATATCCAGGGTTAAATACAAGTTCAGTTCTTTTGGAAACTTCTATGCTGTCAATTTCAATAGAAACTTTCAACTCTGTGGAAGTCTATGGGGCATTCATTTACTGTTTTGTTTGTTTTAAGCATGGAATTAGTCCAACTCATACTGACTGTAAAAATATGCCTGTGGTAATATTTCATCAAAATTATATTATACGTTACACGACACCTTCAAAGTGAAATGTCCAGTGAGTGAATCTGGCAACATGAAATTAAATGTCTAATGAGAGGCCCTAAACGATTAATGTCGATTCACCTTTTTTATATAGCACTTTATACAATACAGATTATTTCAAAGCAACTTAACGTACTTGAATAAAATACACCTTCTACACTAAACCTGAACTCAAACCTACTCAACAGTGCGAACAAAACCATATGTGAGATAAAAGGGCATTTGCTGAAGCAAACATGCCATTTTTGCTGGCTTCCGAGTCTTTGAGCACTTTTATCAGTTCTCTTTTTTTCATGGGACTCAAAGTAATGCTGTACCAGGTGTGCTACAGAGTACGTTTACAACATCTAAAAAGTCTAACATATAGAGCTTGTTATGTGATGCAAATAACACAATTACTAGTTTACAAATCATGCACTATTGTAAAAGTGTTTTGAGGTCAAAACATAGTATTGTGTAAGGAACCGTGTAAAAATAAGTCTTTATTAATTAATAAAGCCCCCCTGTAATCATAATGTTTGAAAAGGAATAAAAGTTATTGGTGTTTTACTGCCACTAATGGTAATTTCAGATGGCTTTGTTAAATTATTCTCTGTGGTAATCGACAGTAAGCCAACAATAAAGTTTAACTTGTGTTTAATATTTTTTTAACAGCTTATTAAGTGCTGAGTGAGGACAGGTATGTCTTTTGGCTTCATTAAAGCAGTTCCTAGAACACAATGCTGATCTTTACTCTTATTTCAGCCCCTCTATTCCCTTTACCCCATGCAGTAGGAACCAGTTCCCCTCCCCTGCTTTCTGTTGACACAACACAACCACACCTGTGAGGAAGTCAATATGCATATAGTGGACCAGAGTCCCCTCCTGCCTAAAATGTTCTCCCAATTACACACAAACACACGGATTCTCCATTAAACAAAAACACCTGGACACGACCCTGACACGCAACACCAACACTGTCCTCTAGAATGAGAGCTCTTGCTATAAAGAATACACAAATACAGTGTGTGTGTGTGTGTATCGAAGAACTATCATTTATACATTTGGCAGATGCTTTTATCTAAAGTGCCTTAAAAAGTATATTTACGAAGGTATATTTTTCTGAGTTTGTGTGCTCAATGAGAATCAAACTCCTGGAGCTGTCAGCACCATGCTTTACCAGACGAGCTGCAGGAACACAATCACTATACTTTTACCTGCAAGAATAAGAGTTAGATAGTGCTTCTCATTATAATTCTGTGGAGTATCTACACACTTTATAGTCAAGTAAAAGAAGAAAGCAAAGAAAAGACCACATTTTAGTGCTTAATAACAGTTTGAAACTATCGGAGCATATAACAGATAAAAAGACCATATGAGAATCTATTGCCCTGGTTTGGTCAGTAACAAGTCCAGCACATGGTGTCATTAAATGATTCTAGGCTACCTTAAAATTACTGTTTTCCATCCCAGGAGAGAGATAGGGGTGGACAGGCTGTTCTGCTACGACAGACACCTGCCAGCATCGTCAGGCACACCACACACACACACACACACACACACACCACTAACATCGAGACGCATTACAATCTGTACATCAACAATAGTATAAATAATGCCACTGGCATGATAATTAACTCATTATTCAATTAAAATGGAGGTCATGAGTGTCAGATAGGTGGAGAAAACCTAAAATGTGATTGGCAAAAGGAAGTTGTCATGTTTCCACTGTCTTCATTCTGTGTAGATGGGCATGAGGACAGTTCCTTACATAACCAGTTCTTCTGCTCAACTGACTCATTTTTGCACTGCAGACAGTTACAATGCCATAAATACATGAATGTAATTTTAAAAAGCATGACGGTTCCAATTATTTACCTTCTTATATGTCGTAATATATGTTAAACTAGTTAATTTCACACATAAATGCGCCGATAAGTAACATTTATTGTTTTTAACAGTCTGAATTCGACATTTTCGCCTGAACAGTTACAAATATTTCCAACTAACCAATCAGATTCGGGTGCACCTGTAGCAAACAAGAGCCGACACGGCGCGAACAAGCGTCATAATAATCAATACAGAGTGCCACATTCTTCTGACAGACGCGTTGAATGATACGTTGTTGAGCGTAACGCTCGATTCAAATGTATCAATTCAGAGACGCGCGTTCGAATACGTTGTTGACGTTTATCTGTAAACCTGCTGATGTTCTGCCGTCGGCGAGTCAAACAAGTGGGGTCGCTCCACTTAAAACCAACCCGTCAGCGAGGAGAAAATGGAGGAAGACGGAACTGACCAGCTTTAAGGGGGCAGACGGGGGGGGGGGAAGAGATAATAACCCAAAGAGCAGCGCTAGTGTCACCTAACGCTTCCCTCAGCGAACACTCGAATATACTCCGCTCTCTTCAAGTTGAGGGAAGTATTAGGCTCTGAGTCCATGGATTCAGTTATGCAGGACATAAAATAATAGTAAAGTGAGTCAAAAACAAAGATCCCCTTCCCTTTTCTGGTAGTAGGTTTAGGGTGTTGACGCAGCAGAAATTTCCAGCTGGAGAAATTCCCCTTTTGGAGGTTAAATTAGGGGAGGATAGAGTGGGGTTAAACCCTTGCCTGCCAAAGCTGAGCTTTTCATTTAAATACCACCACCACATGCACTGACCCCCAAAGGACATGATTTTAGGATTAAAACTTAGGGGAAATGTTATAATATAAATAGTAGGCTATTAAGTTCCCTGTGAAATGTGAAGTAAAGCGTAATCAGCGCGTTCAAAAGGTTGACAAGACAAAAAAGAAAGTCTCCCATCACTCCAATAAAACTCTATCCTGAATGAATGACTGCACATCTGACAGCTGTTCGCAGCGCGTGCATCATCTGTCGTGAACATGTTCTCACCTGGAGACGTCAAACAGGTTGCTGTCACGCAGTCTACTTCAATGACGTGAAAATAACGCAAACGCACCGGCCTCGCGGAAACTCGCAACTTGAACTTACCTGAATGCCTGTGTTGAGGCGCGAGCTCATGTCTCTGCCATACATCCAGATGACAAGTCAAGTTTGATTGTAAAAGCGCTGAGACTGAAGCCTGTGCGGTGGTCAGAAGGGAGGAAGCCAGGGCTGTTAGAGATAGAGTGGAAAGGTGAGAGAGGCATACCTGTTAACCCATGAGTTCTGGGGGGGAGCGCGATGTCGATGCTTTGGAGCTCCAGTATTTCGCTCGTGACAGGTTTGAGAGAGTGAGCACGTCAACAATGTCAGCAGTCAGCGGGGAGACGCGTGTGTGTCGGTCAGTGTAATTCCCCTGCTCGCTGTCTCCCTCTCTCCACGCTCGTCTTTTTCTGTAATTCTCCCTCCCCTGCTTTTCCGTGTCTCGGTATCAGGAACCAACCTCCCCCTCTGTGTGTGTGTGTGTGTGTGTGTGTGTGTGTGTGTGTCTCTAGCTCTCTCTCTCTCTCTCGACTGAGAGTCAAATACAGGAAATGAGGCAAACGCTCGCATTCACCATCAAACCCTGGACAGCTCCAGCTGAACTCATACAGCCATGAAGCCTCTAGGTCAATTATGAATATACAGAGGGCAACATGCCCCCCTTATTAGTGTAAAGATGCTTAGCGTATTAATAAGACAGGTGGAATACGGGTGAATTTAATTTCGACTCAAAACAAATAAAAGCAAACATAATTGTATGAAAAAAATTGAAAATAACAAAATACAATAAAAATAATTCAATCCGTGTCAATTTTATTTATAACCTGTACATGACGTGTATATATATTTTCAAAATGATTTTTACTCAACTTTTGTTTTCACTAGTTCGCCTCTCTCTCTCTCTATATATATATAATGCTGTGATGTTGCTATTTTTAATGTACTGTATGTTATCTGAGCAATTTGTGTCAGTTATATTTATATTATATTTATATACATAACTTGTAAATATAAAACTGTAACTGTTTTTATTTGTTTTTTTCTCATTATACACACACACACACACAGAGAGAGAGAGAGAGAGAGAATTCATATAAAATTATAATTCATATTAAATGTATGTTATAAAATACATTTTAAATGTATCATCAGAGTGTCAATTTAAGTACGACATTTAAATATAAAATTGTGACTGATCATTTGTTTTGTTTTATTTTTGTCAACTTTTTTATTCACGAGTTTGCTTAAAAAGTCTGCTGGTATGCTTATATAATTTCATATATTATATTATATTATATTATATAGAATTATATAAGATTCAGCAAAATATAATATTATTTATACAAACACACACACATACATATTTCAGTATATAATACATAATATATTTTATAATAGGCTATATGTTGAAATGTTATTATTTTAGCTGTTGCAACTATTATTGTCTTTACTAATTAATTTTCTATATTTTTCTCTTATTGTTTTAGCTAATAGCTCGTTTACAATCCTTTTGTCTACCAGAACTGTGTTTAAACGAGTGTCCAGTTCATATAGAGGATGTGCTGGTTTTTCCCGTGGGTACTGCTGAATTTGCATGAGGGAGCGTCTGTGCGTTTAGGCGCGTGTAGGCAGGCGTGAGTGCGCGGCTGCTACACGCTTTTGTCCACTGTGCGTGAGAGTGACACGCGCCCCCTAGTGGCATGTCATCACGCTCTCAGTGTTCTCAATCTGTGTGGAAGGTGTCACCTGCGTATTTATGCAAATCACATATGCTCATTTTGCATATTCTTAGAGATGCATTAAAATCTGAATGGCTCAACTTTACAGTCCAGTTTTTGTTATTTTAATGCTGTCTCTCACCGCTTAATCTGAGATACAACAGTCAGGCCATTTTGTATTGCACATGTGCGCGTTTCAGAGCTTTGGCCGGATCGGAACGTGTGTCAGGCAGGGTTTGTGTGTCTGTGGATTGTCTGGATTAAACCCATTGACCTGTGGCAGGGCTCCTGTTTTAGGATCCTCTGCACGCGTGTAATACACTCTCTGCGTCTGCAATCCGTGTCAGAATCAAGCTGCTTTTCTCCCTTGCTCTATCCGTCTGCCTGTCCATGTACGCCAACAGCGGTCTGCCAATCTGCCTGACTCAACACAGTCTGCCTGATTACGCCCCCTTTTATCCTGCCACCTCTTAAACACCATCCCCCTCCATCCAGCATGGGGCTCAAACTTCATTAGCCCTCTTACGTATTTATTCATTCATATCATGAACACTCATCAAAGCCGGGCCAGAGGGACAAGGGCCAAAGAAGGCCTTGTGCACACATAAATATAGGGAAGTGACCAAACAACATATTATTTTCAAAACCTCTCAACAAATATGCTCAGACAGTCCTGCTAGCAGTAGAAACTCTATGCTAGAAAAAAAATGTTTTATTTTAAATATTACCTTGTGAAAAAGAAGTACACCTTAGCATTTTTTTTTTTTAAAGAGTACTAATACAAAACAAATATACTTTAAAAGAATATACTTGAAAACTGAATATAATGTTTTCAGGCACCTAACTGCATTTTAATTGCAAATAAATGTAAATGTATTATAGTCTAAATTTATATTAAAGAGAACAATAAGAGAAAAAAATCTAACATAGAAAATTAGGTAAAACAATAGTCCCAACAGCTAAATTAAATATTAGAGAGTTTAATATAAACTATATTATTTACTTCAACAAATAAATAATAATTTAAATATTATAATTTTAAACCAAAATATATTTTGTAGTACCTATATATATGTATACACACACACACACACACACACACACACACGCATGCAGGCACGCACGCACACACACACACACACACACACACACACACATATATATATATATATCATATATATATATATATATATATATATAAGCAAACACTTACGTGTACTTACACTTTCATGACTATTTTTCTTAAGACATTTAAGGTACACTTTTTTTTTTTAAGTGCACTGTTATAATGTCAAATTAAAGTGCATTAAACTCTGCGGACCCGAATACGGGTTCAAAATCGTTAAAAATGTTTATGCTTAATTTACATAGCCTTCCTTATATGGTATCAGCCCATATATTTGTTAATTTGAAAGCTTAGAGTCTCTTCTTTACAAAGAATTACTTAAAAGTAAAATTAAGCTTAGAAATGTATTCGTCCCACACACGAATTTCCGCCTAATGATTGCGAAGAATTTTTTTAAACCTATGGGGGGAAAAAATGAACACCCCCCCACAAAAGCAGGATGGTAGTGATATCACAGTTCTGACAGTGTGTGCACACATCTATGTGTAACCATTCATCCACATTTGAGCAGAGTGGACAGTGAAATCCTGTAGTCTAATATAAACCACAATATTAACTTCTCATTATTGAATTGTTGTAATTAAATATCACATTTGGAACTGGTCAGTGTTCAAAAAATGCTGGGAAATCACTTCATGTTCAAGTAAAGTACAGATACTCAAAAAGTGTACTTAAGTACAATACTCAAGTAAATGTACTTAGTTACTGTCCGCCTCTGCATTCCTACTCGTTCTACTGCTTCAGTCAGCCACAAACTCTATATTATCGTTTAGATTAGGGTCTCTTCTTTCAAACAAGACCATTGTCACGTTTCTGCGTGCTTCCATTGGTGAGATATATAGCGTTTTGTCCAGATGCGCACCAGGAAAAAAAGACGCACTTTTTGCCAAACATGAGCTCTCCAAATCATAAGCGCTCCCGGCTAGCGGCTCTTATCTTTTACAACTCTGTGCTGCTCAGTGGACTGCAGTAGGTCAGATTACATGTTACTCTAGCTCAGCGGCCATTCAGAGCTGTGAAATTTGACACCTCTGGGTCAACAGAGTGGCGGGTGAGCGGGTGGTCAGAGAGAGCATCGGGATTTGTAGTTTTTTGGACTGATTTGAAGGCGCTGAAAGGCTAACGCATGGGCGGCTCGGATAAAAGCAATCTATGAACATTATAATAAAAGTTATAGATGATGAAGAACATTGTGCGGCGCCGTGGAGAGGAATGAACGCGCGTCTTGTGAGGGTTTATGAGCGCGTTTGCTCCGTTTTTGATAGAATCTTTATTTTGAAATGTGAAAGCACAGCTAACAATCTGATAAACTGTTTATTGACAGAAAAGTACAGTACATGATGCATTTCAGTAAATATACAGTAAATATACATTGATTATTACAGTGCTGTGTGGATGAACCGTTATTTGTTTGTTTCACGCGCTGAAGATCAGATAGCAGCAACAGGCAGCTTCAGCAAAATGGAGGAGCTGTCATCTTGTCTCCAGGATGCAGGGCTCAGGTGATGAGGTGAGGAGATGCTCCGAACAGTAGACCAATACAGAATGCACATAAATGGAATGATATAAAGCTGGAGGATGTGGATTCTATTTTAGATTGTGATAGACCAGATATATTTTATAATTTATACAGTCTTGTGTCTCCTGAAAGAACAAAACTGATTGTAGAAAACACAAAATCTGAAATTTGGTACAATTCGTTTATGCCATTTTGTATATTACTACTTAGAAAAAATGAAACATAATTCAATCAATAATCAAGAAAAGTGCTTATGGCACATAGTACAATAGGATTCTGGGGGTAATGTGTTTTATAAAACCTGTTTTTGCAAAGGAAACTCAAAATGACACTTGTAAATGCAAAAAAGGAAAATTTTACTCGCTTCACTTATAATGCAATAACTCCTGTTTAGAAGTTGTTATTTGAAAGATTTTTTTTCTGGTACATTTTGGCATCTAGTGGCATCAAACAACGTAAGTTGCAGAGAGCTGGACCTAATAGAACCTGAATAACAGACTTTAAAAAAAGTGTTTTTTAGTGTTTATTGTAATATTTGAAACATATATAATGTTATTTATAAAGAATTACACTCATATTTTGTAATTCAAAGGGTTTTCTTTACAATGAAACCATTTTTTAAATTTCCTCCATTGTATGTGTGTAGGGTAAACATTTGAATTTGAGTATGTCAAATTTAGGTGAAAATACCAAAAAACGTCCCAGAACTTAAGGGGTTTTAAGAATCAGTAGTTAATTTACATGTGCTTCAGTATGTTATTTAAAAAATACTCTTAAAGGGTTAGTTCACCCAAAAATGAAAATTCTGTCATTAATTACTCACCCTCGTGTCGTTTCAAACCTTCGTTCATTTTCGGAACACAAATTAAGATATTTTTGATGAATTCTGAGAGCTCTCCCATAGACAGCAATGTAATTACCACGATCAAACTCCTCCGCATCACCGTGGTGCCATTTTGGAGAATATCCACTGAATGTAAACAGCATATGCTATTCTGTGTCAGCTGTGTCGTTTTCTACATTGTTTACAATTTGATTTGAACGAAAACAACGTATCCGCGTGACACAGCTGACACAGAATAGCATACGCTGTTTGCGTTCAGTGGATACTCTCCAAAATAGCGCTACGGTGACGCGGAGGAG